TCTTGTAAATTTTATTAATACTAAAGTTTATTTGCAGTTTCTTGAGGAACATGGTGAAGTTACTCAGCAGGAAAACCTAGCTAATATTGATGATGAGTGTAATCAGTTGGAAGTTGCAGAATATGTTGATGACATCTACCAGTATTATTGGGTTGCCGAGGTTTCATCACACTCTTCTTTTATTCTTCTTCTCTTGCAGTGTAGTCTTTTTTTTTCTTTCCCCTTTGTTTGATTCTAGATTGTTGTGGTGCTAGATTGTTGTTATGGAAACCGAACAGTGAAAGGACTATTAGACGAGTTCAAATATGGGCTGATGACTGATCCTAGAAACCTCCCTTCGAGTGTTTTACGACATAATCTCTTTGGTCTCAGTTAGTAAACAACTATTTCTAATTATGATGACATATGACGTAATCATTTTACAAAAATTGGTAGTAACTTTCTCTAGTGATATGAGTGATTAAGAAATTCTGACCACTGATTTTTGACACAGTTGAGAGTGAATATATAACTTTATAATCCCATTTTAAGTAAGTCATATAGGTCTTTAATGATTCTCCAGCATATAGTAGGCAACTAGTTAATGCCTACTTCTAGAAAGAAATATATATTATAAAAAGCATTATGTATCAACCTTTGTAGTAACTCTCATTTCAGTTGAAACCCTGTGGTTTGAATCTTAACATTTTATTATTGTAGTTGAAAGATGTTGTGAATTATATTATGTGTAGAGAGAAAAAATAGATTTGTATTTATGGGGATCCCTATGCCAGGAGAAGGGAAATCATAAATAGGAAAATTAGTTATACAAGAAACACCAATTCTAGAAACTAACAATAGGAAACATGTAACAAAATGGTAATACTTTTGTTCAATCTAGAACAATTTTTCAGATCCGTTTTTGGGACAGTATCTGTTGTAGTTTAGAAAGATTAAAAGACAAATATTCTCTCATATATACAATTGCTAGAAATAAAGTTGTCATGGTAAATGAAGGTACGGGTTCAATCATCCCTGCCTACTGGAGTGTCCCGGTATTGGGGAATCTTTAAAATTGGGAACTAAAAGAATATGAATCTTTGCTCCACTTACTGGCAAACTTTCAGCTGCAAAACTAAGATGATAAACTATATTTGAAATTGAAAAAGAACGGCCTCTTCACTGTTAGATCTCTCTACTCGTTTATGGCCAATCATAACTTTGATAAGCAATATCTTTTGCCCTCAAAAACCATTTGGGAATTTGGTGCCCTTCTCAAGAATAACTTTTTTTGCTTGGGAAGCTGGTAAAAGAAAAATCCTCACTATGGATAACTTGATGAAAAAATAGCATATTACTGTCAACAGGTGTTTCTTATGTAAAAGTTCTCTTGAATCGTGCAATCATCTACTACTGAAATGTCAGACATTTCACAAACTTTAGAGCATGATCCTCGGCCTTCTGGGAATTTCTTGGTTAACGACAGATACGAGTTTTTTGAACTTTTGGCTTGGAAAGGTTTGAACGGTAACAAAGTGCTTAGACTAATTCCTCTCACTATATTCTGGGTCATTTGAAAAAAGAGAAACAATAGAGCTTTTTAGGAGGTCAAACAAGATTTTAATAGCATTAAAGATAAATAGTTTCATTATTTTGACTCTACTGTTTTAGGGTATAATATTGACTGTTTTGAGAATTTAGGTTCCATTGTAGATATGCTTATTGATATAGAAATTTTTGTACATGGTTGGTGCTCCTTCAGCACCTCACATCAATACAACTACATCTCTTTTATTTTTTTTTAAAAAAATTATTCATATGCACCAAACTTGTTATAGATGAATTTCACACGAGCTCTTTTTAAGGAAAATTGTGGAAGTATTAGCAGGTTGGTTTGCTAACTTCATGAGTAGTCCAAAGCGCATTTTAAAATGATGATCAATCTTGATACTTTTAGTTACATCATAAAAACTAGGTTGGAAACAACACGGATCACTGTTTGCCTAGCACATTGTAACTCCATGATTGTGATTGTGGAAAACCAAGGTCGTGAGATAGATGTTTCAACTAAATCAATTTATAGGTAGTATGAGTAATAGCTCGATGTACTAATTTAACAATAGATTTAGCAACTACACTTTGTTTTTTAGTCATTAAGGCATGATGTTACCACACATAAAGACACATTAACATTAAATTTAGCAACTATACTTCACTTTTTGGTCATTTAGCATGATGTTACCACACATAAAGACACATTAACATGCGGTGGATCTATGAGAAGAGGCAGAACCAACTCAATTAGCATCTTTATATCCTAGGAGTAAAGTATGCTACTGATTCTTATAGAATAATCCACGACCAGAAAAATTGATGCTTAAAACTGTCACTTAGTCTAATTCAAGAACTTATGACACCAATAGTGAATAAAATGTCTGGATGAGTATTTAGCTTTTTAACTCAACTCCTATAAGTATGGAGTTCTTGCAATATTTCACTCTCATCTACATCTTGTTCGAGATCAATCCAAGTGAGTATCGACTAGTTTAGCTTCCAACTTCCATGTCTTATTCAAAAGATTAAGAGTGTACTTTCTTTGTGACAAACAAAATCTCACTTTTTGGTCTAGCTACGTCAATGCCCAAAAAGTTTATGAGGGCAAAATTGTTTGTTTGCAATCAGTTCTGAAGGAAAAGTTTCAACTATTGAATTCTCTTACTATTATCAGTTTTGATAATAATATCATCAGTATACACAATGAATAATAATTTTTCAGTTAATATGTTTATCACATAGTTGTAACAATATCATCAAAATCGTTTTTCTGCAATCAGTTTTATAGAAAATAAGAAGAAATTAGGTTGTATATTTTCTGTTTCTTTTTCTATTAGCTGTATACGGAGGAAGTTACAAACAGATTTTCTCATCCCCATAAAATTGTTAGAATCTTGTTAGAATTTGTTGGGTTTGTTAACATTTAGGGTGTATAAATATTCATCATTCTTCGTGGAAAGAATAGATGAGAAGCAACATTTCCTCTCAAATTTCTTCAAGTTCTGAAGGAAAAGTTTCAACTACTGAATTCTCTTACTATTATCAGTTTTAATAATAATATCATCAGT